CTACGTGACTCCGACTTCACGAGACTAACGATGAGCAGACAACAGAGAGAGAGAATTCAATTCAGTGCTTTTATTTCCAACATGCGCTCATTCATGGCTGCATATTATTTAATTCAGGCAAAGTTACGTCTTTATTGGGACAGGACTTGACGGATTATTTTACGTGACTCCGTGAGTTGGTCTCTATTTCTTAGAGCCAAGCTGCATAAACTACATATCAGGCATTTATGTAATGCATCTAATTTGTGCATAAATGGCTGTTATGTTAAATAAAGTTTACTAACTACAGCAAATCAAGTACCTGCACCATGCTATTGTTGTTGTCTCCTCTCCCCTCAACGCGCTGCAATGGCGATCCTGCGCGCAATTCTCAAAACACCCACAAGATGGCTGCGTTTATCGGTGAATCCGATGTTGCTTAAATATCGGGAAAAATATCGGTAAATCGATATATCGGTCGATCTCTAATCATTTAAGAAAGATTTTAGAAAACATGAAACTGCGGTCCAAGGTCTATCATAAATGTGAAAATGATTGGGTGGTTGGGCACGGGGGGCTCCACCAATGTCAAAAGCAAACCTCTGCTCTTGATTTTAACCTGGTTATCCGTTGTGTGTCTGCTGCTCAGGGTTTCTGCATCTTGGGGGTCTCCGCACAGCGCTCTATAACTATCTGTTCGCCAAGCAGCACGGCGGCGCCTTCATCCTGCGGCTGGAGGACACTGACCAGAGCCGCCTGATACCTGGAGCCGCAGACGATATAGAGGACATGCTGGAGTGGGCAGGTGTGTGTGTGTGTGTGTCCTCACTGATGTAGTGAAGCTCCAGTCTGTCTTTGATGGAGACTGTTGATTTGTATCTTTGTTATTTGTTCCACTTCTGTTGAATGCACAGTTCTTTCTTATTTGTATTGTTTATTTGTAACGCTTACACATTAATGCTTCAAAGCAGCTTCACAGAAAATCATGATGTTAATGTTTATAATATCTTAATATCTTCATGCCTTACAGTAGTATTTATCAGATTAGAGGTGGATGATCATGTAGTTCATGTTATATGATAAAACAATCAATCCATTGAGATTTGCTGCATTTCGTTTCATGAGAGAGTTGGATAATTCAGACGTTACATTTGTGTATGTGGATAGTTGAATATACTACTTGATATAAAGAGCTGTGTGAAAATATAATTTACATTTAGTGTCACAGTGTTCATATGTTGAATATTTATTCACAAGTTTGTCTGTCCATCCAGTCCTGATGGTTAATGGTATACAAACTTGGCTTGCTGTCCCAATGGAGGCTCGAACCTGAGGCTCAGCTTGAGCTCCGAGTTCAACCCGCCCCATTGGGGCACTACCTAGAGGGAAAATAATAGAAACAGAGGAGGAGAAGTGGAGGTGGAGGGATGCCGGAAGAATTGACGCTGGGGCGGTCCAATGAGTACTGCTTATATAGGTTCGTAATGATCCTTGACAGGCCTGAATGATTAGGCTCCTCCCAACCTACGTTTGGAACTTCATTTCAATTCATTATCCTTTGGTGGAAACAATGCTGCAGCAGAGCACAAGAGCTCTTCTGTAGGGGATGCGCAGACGGGGGAAGCGAGCCGGCGCGGTCGTGAAGCTCAGACAGCACGGTTTTCGAACGGCACTGCCTAGCATTCATCTGGCAAATTTCCGCGCTCTACCCAAAAAAATGGATGAACTTCTTCTGCTCTCCCGGACAAATAAGGATTTTTCACACTCTGCTGCTCAGTGTTGCACGGACGCTATTCCGGACAGTGTGCTACATCTGCCGAATGCTGTTCAGATCTAGAAGTGCTCTTCATTAACTGTAAGCCATTCTATTCGCCGCGGGAGTTCAATCGTTCATTCTCATGAGTGTGTACATTCCTCTGCAAGCGCTCGTGAGCTCAGCTTTACAGAAACTCGCTGATCTGATCACAGAGACAGAGCAACAACACCCGGACTCTGTTTTAATCATTCTCGGGGACTTTAATAAAGCAAATCTCTCCCGTGAACTGCCAAAATACAGACAGCATGTTACCCAGTTTAAGAGCACTTTCTTCTTGTAATTAGGAGTGCTTGTCCTCCTAATTAAAAAATGTAGGAGCACCTTCTGAAAAATAATCAAAAATTAGCCTTCCTAATACGAGGTGACATTTGACTCCTTTGACATTTGAGTCCTAGCTGTAGGACTCTCTGACCACTGCCTGGTTCATCTTATACCGACTTACAGGCAAAAACTTAAATCTGCTAAACCTGTAGTAAAGTGTGTAAAGAGATGGACCAACGAAACAAGAGTGGGCATTACAAGCCTGTTTCGACTGCACTGATTGGAGTGTTTTTGAAGCAGCCACCAATGATCTGGACGAACTCACAGAGACTGTAACATCATATATCAGTTTCTGTGAAGACATGTGCATCCCTACCAGGACTCATTTAACATTCAATAATGATAAGCCATGGTTTACAGCAAAACTTCGTCATCTTCGTCAGGCCAAAGAGGACGCCTACAAAAGGGGGGACAGAGTCTTGTACAATCAGGCCAGAAACACACTGAATAAGGAGATTAGAGTGGCCAAGAGGAACTACGCTAAAAAACTAGAACACCAGTTTTCTGCCAACGACCCTGCATCAGTGTGGAAAGGCCTGAAGGACATCACCAACTACAAGACACCATCCCCCAGCACTGAGGCCAATCAACAACTTGCTGAAGACCTGAATGAGTTTTACTGTAGATTTGAAACTCCCAGTCTAACACCCCACACCCACTCTGAACATCTCTCCACACAACCATCAACACCTCCTGCAACCCCCCTCTCCCCCACTCCTACGTTTCAGATCAGTGAGGATGATGTGCGCCAGGTCTTCAGAAAGAACAAGAGAAGAAAAGCACCAGGCCCAGACGGTGTGACACCAGCCTGTCTGAAAACATGCACTGACCAGCTGACCCCCATCTTCTCACAGATCTTCAACAGATCACTGGAGCTGTGCAAAGTCCCTGCCTGCTTCAAACGCTCCACCATCATCCCCGTCCCAAAGAAACCCAAGATAACAGGACTTAATGACTACAGACCTGTGGCTCTAACGTCTGTGGTCATGAAGTCTTTTGAAAAACTGGTGCTGGCCCACCTGAAGGACATCACTGGACCCTTGCTGGATCCTCTTCAGTTTGCCTACAGAGCAAACAGGTCTGTGGACGATGCAGTTAACATGGGACTGCATTATGTTCTGCAACATCTAGACAGACCAGGGACTTATGTGAGGATCCCGTTCGTGGACTTCAGCTCGGCCTTTAACACCATCATCCCAAACCTCCTCCTGCCCAAACTAACTCAGCTCTCCGTGCCCACCTCCGTCTGTCAGTGGATCAACAGCTTCCTGACAGACAGACAGCAGCTAGGGAGGCTGGGAAAATACACATTCAGCACCCGTATAATCAGCACTGGAGCCCCTCAGGGCTGCGTCCTCTCCCCACTGCTCTTCTCCCTGTACACCAACGACTGCACCTCTAAAGACCCCTCTGTCAAGCTCCTGAAGTTTGCAGACGACACCACACTCATCGGCCTCATTCAGGACGGTGACGAGTCTGCCTACAGTCAGGAGGTTAAAGAGCTGGCTGTCTGGTGCAGTCTCAACAACCTGGAGCTCAACACGCTCAAAACTGTGGAGATGACCGTGGACTTCAGGAGAAACCCCCCTGCACTCCCCCCACTCACCATCATGGACAGCACTGTGACTGCAGTGGAGTCATTCAGGTTCCTGGGCACCACAATCTCTCAGGACCTGAAGTGGGACACTCACATAGACTCCATTGTTAAAAAGGCCCAGCAGAGGTTGTACTTCCTTCGCCAGCTAAGGAAGTTCAACCTGCCACAGGCGCTGCTGAAACAATTCTACTCTGCTATCATTGAATCCATCCTCTGCACTTCAATAACTGTCTGGTTCAGCTCAGCTACCAAATCTGACCTCAGAAGACTACAGAGGGTAGTCCGGACTGCTGAGCGAATCATTGGTACAACCCTCCCTTCTCTCCAAGAACTGTACTCATCCAGAGTGAGCAAAAGGGCTGGCAAAATCACTCTGGACCCCTCACATCCAGCACACTCCCTCTTTGAACTGTTGCCATCTGGTCAACGCTACAGAGCACTGAGCACCAGAACGACCAGACACAGGAACAGTTTCTTCCCTCAGGCAATCCATCTCATGAACACTTAACAATAACTGTGGAACACACACTATTTATTCACTCATACACTTATTTATCTAACACACATACTCAGTCTACACCTCAAACTTGCACATAATATACAGTACCTGTACATACAAAAACTGTCTATTGTAATATACCTGCACATACAACTGTCAATTTATATATTTTTATTCCTTATTTACTTGTTCTATTTTTTATTATCTGTGTTTTTTGTTCTGTCACTGTCATTCTGTTACACTGTGGAAGCTTCTGTCACGAAAACAAATTCCTCGTATGTGTAAACATACCTGGCAATAAAGCTCATTCTGAAAAGGTGATCAATCTGTTTGTAATGCTAATGAAAAAAGCCATCTGGGAAAGAAGAGTGATCGCAAAACAAAACAAAA